CTGAAAAAAATACCAAATTAAATGCAAATAATATTCTTATGGCTTAGTTATATCCGGACTGTCGCGGTAAATCTGAAATTTACGAAAATGGATGTTAATCTCGATTTTTGTTGTTAACGTGGTATTAGTGGGATTTTGAACTGGTATGAGTAGCTAGCTATTCCTCGTATGTTAATATGAAAAAAGGATTTCATAAAAAAGAAAAAAAATGAACTAGAACCATTAATTAAGAATCAAATGGCTAAAGATGTATCAAAAAGGAGGTTGGATTAATCAACGCGGAGATGTCAGGACCGACATCATACAATTAACCAATCATTACTTTATCAAATGTAAGTCTCTAGACACAAGACTTGATTCGTCAGTTTCCATTCATATTTTAACCTCTACCTACTAAGCTCAAATCAGCGTCATCATTTCGATATTCTGAGGGTGATATGTCTCCAAAACGTGAATTAGATACCAGACTTAGATGTTTACCCTAAGCCCCGCCAAAGGGTAAACATGTAAACATTTGAATAAAAGGAGTTTGAGGAAATTCAACGAAACGCTAGATCAAAATTGGATAGGTGTAACTCCAAAGGGATCACCCAAAGAGATTAACAACTTTTATAAGTAAAAATATCACTGAACAAACCTGAAAATTTACTACAAGTCATCTTTAATCAATAAATTTTTCAAAGCGTTAAGTTAAGCATCGTCTACTATTGGTTGAGAATCTGTGAGTCTAATATTAATTGTTGTTGTCGCTTTCGATTATTATTGGGGCTACGCCACAATATTGTGAATTTGAAGATGTTATTTTGGGTTTATTTAACTCTATATCTGTATTTATGCAACGTAGAAATGCCTTGCAAACGTACGTAAAGTTGTCAGCCTTAACGTTTTCTTACTTTTCTTTGTGTGTAGTGAAATATGTGCAATTAATCTTCCTTTTCTTAAACACCATAAGCGTCCCTAAGCACTAATATTGAAACACTAAGATCAACACTAAAGCTTTACAAATTTTGCGTGCGTATGATAGGCGAATATATTGGTTTTGTTCCACCTAATGCAATTAAAGGAAGGAAGTGAAGTTAATGCAATTAAATTAGAAAAATAATTAATAACTTTTGTTCACCTTGCATGATGGCGCCCTTGTAGTTCTACGTTAAAAGAAACCCTTTAGAATTTTTTTCTTGTTAAGAACTATGATCTTAAAACGTTATTCACGTCTTTGTGCTGTCTGCTAATAACGTTAAATTAAATCGATGTTGCATTCAGTCAATTTGCGGATAAGAATAGCGAAACGGATGTCTTGACCAAGGTAGAAAAAGTAATTATGAGGTGGAAAAATACATCATTAAGCACTGGAGTGATTTTGGGAAAGCTTCTCGCAGACGATAACCCGCCATCAAGAAATATATCTAAACTATTCACGTGTAAGAAACGTTTTGTTGACTTTTGAATTCAATTCCTGGGACTGTTTATATTTCCCAACTTATCTCTCATTATAACATATTAATATTATTTTCCTTTTTTAAAGAATGAAATTTTCAAGGCATCTGTGGTTATCCGCTGTTCGCTTTGTTGCCTTCATCTGCGTCGTTGCTGGCACACAAAGAGACGAGAATTCCAGGTGTACAATTTTTACAGCATATCCAGGTAATCTCTAAAAAAGAAAAATCATTACTTCTGCCGGACATTTATAGAGAAGCTCCGTCCATATGTTTCAGGATTGCTGAAAGAAATCAAAGTTTGCGGCGTTATTTGAGTCACGCCAAAGTACACTAATATTTGTTTCTATATTAGGGAGACTAGAGAATTCTGAGGGCTGGTCAGCAATGCCGCAAACTAATTTTAGCAGGAAGCAATTACGAGTATTTTTCCTCCTTTGGTACTCGAAAGGAGCTTTTAGGGTATCAAGTTATTAGACCAAGACCACAACACAGTGATGCCGACCAGGGCTGGAACCCGGGCCCCCAAATCAGGACCCACCGCCCATTTCGCCTTAAAAATAACCGTGATAAACTTAGGGCTTTCGAAAATAGATTTACTCTTATCCTGAAAGGCAAAATTTTTATGTCGTGAGCTGATGACTTTTTTTTTCAGGCCATGTTCTGAAGAATCACACTGTTGCTCTGTACCACGTGACATCAGAAATGGCTTGTGGTTTGAAGTGCTTACAACATGACACGTGCAAATCATATAACTACAAACCAATCAGCGTCGAGCAAAGTAAAGTTTGCGAGCTGAAGGACGCAAACAGAGTCACGTGTCCCTCGTGTTTTGTGAAAGAACTAAACACAACTTACTACGAAGATATCAAGGTACTAAACATTAAAAAGGATATCTCTGAGTCCAGACAATTACAAAAAATATAATAAAATTGCATATTTATACTGTAAGTTTTTAAATTGAATTTACTTGCTTTAGAGCTAATTTGAACGTTTAGTGTTTTATTACAGATTTACTCGTAGCAGCTTGTTGCAAGCAGAACGAAATGATAGTTTCTTCGTTTTCTGTTTTGTTTTTTCAGTTGTCGTTGTTCAAGATTCAGGTTGCTGAAAATATCTCGATCAATTACGGTACGTGACATCCAACTCCTTGTGAGTACTGAAAAGAAATTGCGCTCATAGATTAATGAACGTACCAATTAAAATAAGGAAATTATTCCCAACCGTCTCTACCAAATGGTAAACAATATATTCAAGACATGCATAGCACTTGATAAATTTAGTGTCCTTGCCTTTAAATAATAGGCGAGATCCTCAAGGTCGTACATTTTCTGTTAATTCGACTACACTTTGGAAGTTTATTGCATAAAGACAAGGATCTTTCCAGATCTGAAATACCTACAAAATGCATTTTTAGTATAACGACAGCAAAATTGGATATTTTTCAGTTTGGAAACGTAACTGCAGGACAAGTACTAGTTCTCTTGTTTTTCCTTCTGACTTCAATTTCAACTGAGTTCAACGTTTTTTCTTTTTGCTTCTGTCGGAACATAACATATATCTTTTCTTTTTTCTCTTTTTTTAATGTTCCGATTTTATATCTCTGGATGGGATTCAACTGAAATTTTAACTGATAGCATAGAAATTACGCTTTTTTTTAACCCATAGCTGATATCTGAGGTAGTCTGCAAAATTTACCAATAGCTGAGAAATAGGCTGAAATTTGTGTTGATAGATGAGAAATCTCCAAGAATTTAACTGATAACTGGGATTCCAGTATCTAGACCTTCGAGGAGCTTCGTGTTTCTCGTTGCCGTTGTGATGCCCTGATATGTCTCTTGTTGCACTTTGATAGAGCCTCTGGGCTACGATGTGATCTTTCCAAGCAAAGATAACTTCAGCTATCTGGATCAGAACTTACCGCCATCAATCGACTTACGAGAGTTCACTCTATGCTTCTGGATGAAGACCGCTGACCACGAACATGGCACTATATTCAGTTACGCTCTGCCCCAAACCTTAAACCAACTCCTCATTAAAAAGGATTCTTTTTTCGTCAATGATTGTTATGAGTGAGTTTGTACATTACGGCAAAACCCGTGTGTAAGAACCTACATTTTTTGAAGTCTGGCAAAATCAGTCCTTGTATTTTGGGGTAGTTATGTTATTGGCAATTAAATTTTATAGGCTAACAGTAATTATCATTAGGTCCTTCAATCTCTATAGCAGAGATATAGTTGTTAAACAAATTGTGGTTTGGTCCTTAAATGCACAGTATTCATTATGATAAGCCTAACACAACTGAGTACAGCATATAGTAGTGTTGCCTCTAAAACAAGAGTTCATAATTTAACTGTAACCCACATATTAATTATAAATACCTGCTTGATCTTACTTGGCTAAAAAGGTTCTTATATTTTTGGGTTTTAAAATGGCAAATTTCTGCAGCAGGTTCTTAAACCAATAGGTTCTTACACACTAGTTTGTACTGTATATCATTTTGCTTTGCTGACATCAATATAGTTAATGTAGTTAACAAGTCAAACAAAGTAAATAAAGACATTTCTATGAAAGCCAGTTTGATCAACAACAGGCGATATAGGGCAACTGTTGATGACGTCTCTGTTTACATTTTACCTCGTTTGCAAACGACTTTGGGTAGAGAAGGCATCACACTAGATACGAATTCGCTCCAAAAAATTAAACAGCATGGTACAAAGGGAAATGTTTTGCTCTTTGGGTGTAATATTGAAGGAAAGATTGATTTGTAAAAATATCTGTAAAAGCGCCAATGAACCCATGCAGTCTTGTGAAATTTTGACTTTTAAAAACCCAAAAAAGTACTTAATTCATCGTTCTCAAATTCCTTAAGACAGTTAATTGTGCTGCAACTTTTCAATATTAAGAACTGAATCGCTTATGCTAATGAAACAAATATTTCCCTGAACAATCCCTTCCTTTAGAAATGTAAGTTTTGATAGTGTTATATTTGCTTTCATCCCAGAAACACCTCGCTTGGAGTTTATTATGATGGACTATGGCACCCCGTTTGCATTGTTTGGGGGAACAAGAATGGAGTTTGGAAGTTGTTCGCTGATGATGTGATCATTGATTCTGGAATTAATTTCCAGACAGGCCACGTGATCAAGGGGGGAGGAGTGGTAATCATTGGCCAACATCAAGACTTATTCTCAGAAGGAGACCAGAGTGGATTTCAATATTCACAAGGTTTTGTGGGAAGGATCAGTGGAATGAATTTATGGGACTTCATTGTGCCTCAGAAAAAGATACTGCGCATGTCCCAAACGTGTGGCGTGGAAATTGGTAATGTTCTCCAGTGGCTGGATTTTGAGACCAAGTATCATGGTGACGTCATACTGGAGAATCCTTCCTCGTGCCAGATCCCCAGTGCAAAACAAGGAACTAAAAAAACTAAATCCAACCATTAGTATCAGATCATAGATGTTATCCAAATTGATTTTTAACATCTTAACTCCACGCTAGAATAATTATCCATTTTAATTGTGGTTCTGTGCTTGTTTATTACCAGCCTGCTTCTCAATTGCATTGTTATTTTTAAAATAAGATTTTGATGGTACGCTAACCAAATCTTGTTTCAATTAAATAGTAACAGTGGATTGAAGAGAACTCTTATTTTTTTGGAGTTGAGGTAGTTATCCATGCCTTGTTATATTTGTTTGTTAAAATATTGGACCATATGTTCATCTACTTGTCCGTAGACATGTCCACTTACCAATTTGTCTACTTCTCTCCGTGTTTGCCTTTTAAAAATGTTTAATTGTAAATATTTTTTGTTTCTTTCTTTAATATATAACTGAGAAAATTACTTCACTGTGATTGGCTGAGAGCAGGTCAACTGATCGTGTTAATCAGTTAATTTGCACTGCAGTGCAAATTAGCGCGCACCATGCACGCGATCGCAATTTTCTTCGTCGGCAGCCGTTCGTCTCGGGAGACGATGGTGTAGCGCTATGTCGATGCGGAGCATCGTCTCGAGTGGCTATAGAGTCCCACTCTGGAGTGGCAGTCTCTGTTGCAAATAACGCAGACGAAGGAGGATGGTGCTGCAATTGAGGCTGGCCTGGTCTTCCTTCTGGTTCTCAATTTTCTTAGTCATATAATAAATGAGAAATTGGATAATGGCTCTAACAATTAAGGATTTAGACTACTTGTGATATCTGAAATTCTTTCAAATTGCACTCGCCTAAGAAAGGCTCGTGCTATTTTAAGAGAATTTTCAAATACTACTCATGATGTATTCTACGATTATCTATACTTATTTATTATGTTATTTATTTAAAAATGGGTGGCGATGAAACGATTCAATGATGAACAAATTTAAAAAATAATTCCACAAATGTTAACTTTAAATTGTCTACATTCATTAGCAACTGAAATCGAATGCCAATATCACAATATAATTTTTAATTAAACAATCTTCACAGCTTAACAAAAGATGACATTTGACTTATTTTAAAACAATTCGATAACAACAAAATTTCTTTGAATTTCTTTACTTCCAAGGAGCTGGAAATGGTCGTCGTCGAAACGGCTCCATTTGAAGAACGGTACACAGATAAACTCTTCCAAGCGGTCCTGCAAATAATTGGAAATTTTCACTTAGTATTGATCTAAATAATGATAAGAAACGTTTACTTAATTTACTGCAGCTAAACTGTTTCCATTATACCCGAGTCTTATGTCAATTAAAAAGTTTCACACAGTGCCAGGAGCTCGAGACTGATGAACCTTCTTTTGTGAAGCATTGATGTAATATATCAAACATGAAAGACTGTGTTCGATCACATTTCCAAACACCGAGAAGAGAGTAGAAAATACGACGCCTAGAGGAGTATTTTTGACGAGCTTTGAGGTGTTTGGGAAAGTGATCAAAGACTGTCTTGTGTATTTAATATGTGTTGTAAATCGAAACTAAAACTAAGGAGAAAACGGAGAAATGAGATCGTAAAAATCTATGCTAATTAAGATCAGATATGCAGACACCGTCACGGTCATGATTTCCTTTGTTTAAACTTGATGAATTACTAATGACTTTGAGAAGAAGCATTGAAATTAATGGTGAATCACTAATATTATTACTTTGTCGGTATATATATTTGATCGTACCTGTCAAATATGTTGAGAATGTCGAGTCATACTTCTGAAATTCTCTCAAAGGAATGAGTCCTTTATCAGGGTGTACGCTATCCCGCCGTCCCATGCGCTCCTTGAGCTGCATAACAAGCAGCCTCCAGCCGTCCTTGCGCTGGAGTTGATTGGAAATGTTTAGGAACGTGTTTCTTCTCACGCAATTTTCGCGGTATGTTTCTTCCTCTTTAACTCCTCTGGACCTACCTACGTTAAAAGAAAAAGTAATGGGAAAGCAGTTATTGAACTGGATTTTTAAAAACATTTTTCACTACAACGCTTTGTGATAATTTTATGACCGTCCCATGAAAATGAGCCAAGAAGCTCAGTCGCGTTATTTTCACTAATTTTGGGCATCTGAAAAATTACCTTTAAACTGAAGGAAACTTGAAAATAGTAGTTTACTAAGATAGAAAAACACCAAAGAATAATAATAAGCCACAAAGAAACAAGGAGGTTACGGATGAAAAAGATTAAAACGGATTACAATCGACGAAAAATTTAGGCTAAACGTTTTAAGATGGGCGAACCGACACGTAGCTGCTTTGAGGTTGTTTTTTTTTTTATCATGATCAAGAAACGCAAATGTTGCGTTGAATGAAAAAATGTTTATTTTAATTTGTTCTTATCATTTTAAAGACAATCTTATGTTCATAAGTTACTTAAGCCTGATACGTGGACGGATTTCAACCTACCTACTAGAAGATTTACACAAGTCACCCTTCTCTTGTGGACGGCTACATGGATAGCTGATCTTCCTGAAGGCATCTTACGACATGGTTGAATGTTAAGACTCATCAGTTTTGATACCACTCCTGCATGACCTCGGTGGCTGGCAATATACAGGGCTACATAGCCACGCTCGTTGAAGATCGTTCGTCTAAACCATCCGTGCCCGCGTATGGTCTCTCTGATTCGAGAATTCATCACACCTGTTCTTGTAATAGAAAATATTTTCTCGGTTTCTATTTCATATTTAGATTATGAACTCCAGACTTCTATTCAAACAATAGCCGGAGTGTTGCTGTGTAGAAATTCGAACTATCGCGTGATAATCGCCCTGCCGAAATTTGTTGTTCTTTAAACAAATATCGTATTTGTCCGAAGAGCAAAACTTCGAGGGCAAATATTAATATGCTAGTTTTAAGAACATCAAATTTCCGAAGAGTAATTATCAGGCCGATAGTTCCGAGACATAAACACTATTGTCTCTATTGTTTATCACTAAATTTTCTTCCACGCGCCTGTTCAAAAATCAACTTTTTTGAATCTATGGATTCAACTTTTTTTACATGAAAGGCGTGAACTCAAATGTTAAATTTGAATCCAAGGCCCCGACCTGGGCTGCCTCGTGTCACTTGTTTAGTGCGAAGAAAACACCTCCACACCAAATAATGCAAGCGTAACGCTAGATCAAGTAGACAGCACACATTTTTACTTCCGTTAACTTTTACGAATAAAATTCGATCCGCCTCGATCTGGGCCGATTCGACCCTTAATTAATGACAATTCATTTTTATAATTTATAACCATTTGCTCACTCTCGAAAAGTGCGCGTTATATGATAGTTTTTAAGGAAGAGAAAAAAAAATTGCTCTATAAATTCAAACATAACAATTTTGTGCCCGAAGAAACGGCGATTATCAATCTGAGAGAAGCACGAGCTTCCTATCGTTCTCTGAAAGTGATCAGCTAAGCAAGTTTCCAGGCGAGATTCTAACATAGAGATTTCACATACCTTTGACGTCACCATAATATGCAGCGTGAATAAGCGGACCCCATTCCGGCCACCATTTTACTTTGAATATTGAATTAGGTACCACGTGATAGAACGACAACTTTTTTCTGTCGTCAATGTCAAGGTCATCTAAATATGTCAAGCGCTGTACCTGACTTTGAGAAAAAAACATACGTTATGAAAAACATAAATAATTAGATATTGTATTGTTTTGAGGAGAGGTTTTATTTTTCCAAAAATTTCAACCGGACTTGCAGCATTTTGCAACAGGAAACTATAAAACAGTAAAGACGGAATCCACCAGAAGTTTGAGTAACGAGTGGACAAAAACCTAGTACCAAGATTATTCACATCGTATTGCAAACTTCTGTACGACTGTTAAATATCTGCTCAAAAAAAATCATTTCTAGCAACACCAGACGTCGAAAACGAATGTTGAACTTCGTATGAAACACTTAAAAGTACTGGTGAAATGAAACTGATGATGAAATTTTGCCTGTGGTTGCACAAGTTCTCTGAACTTTGAAGTTCATTTTCTCTCGTTTCCATGGGAAATTGTTTTCGGTGTTATTTCAGGCAATTATTTATGTATTTACCTTTAAGAAAATATACTAATGACCTTTAAATACTTAAAATTATTCTGGTACCAGATTTTTGTCCACTAAAACCTGAAATTGCTCGATTTTCTATCGGATTTCGTCTTAATTTGAAGCTAAAAGGACAGGCTACCTGTTTTCAGTTTCTTGTTTTTTTAAAAAAAAATCTACCTGGACGACTATTCTTCAAAACTCTAGATTTATGCACTGGGCATGAATGAACAATGATGACATAAACAATTGCAAATTCTCTTCTTTTTTTCGCAAACAAACAGCGTTAAAACGAAGCACCATATCTCAGATCAGGATTCAGATTATCTTTCAGACTTACCGTGGAATGCCACTTGCTAACTCTATTCTATCTTTCAAGGCCAGCACAGTCATCGAAGTTGAGACATCCGTTATTTCAAATGTTTCATCAAAAGGAAAAACAACTTTAACCGCGAAGGAACGATTTTTGGCCGAACTAATCTGTCGAGCCATTACGTGAATTTTTCATTTCTTTAAAAGAATCCCTTTTGTGATGTCATAACGGTGATGAGGTGAAATAAACACCGCGCGCGCCTGTTTTCATGTTTTTATAGTCAGGTCAAGACATTTTTCAAATCACCCCGAGCAACATTGGTGCTCTAAAAACGCATCAAATGTTTTCCGTCCACACCACGCCGGAGGAATTTAAAAACGCAACAATCAGCAGTCATTTTGGTTTTGTGGACCGAAAACTCAGTCAGTCACATGATTATCGTGACAAAATCGTTTCGAATAGCTCCGTTTTCAAACTGTTTTCCGTCCACACGAAAACGAAAAGCCGGCGTTTCCAAATTCCGCCGAATTGAAGAGCGTTTTGGAAAAGCTTCGTTCTCTTGACGGATCACTGTGGATGGTTAGGCCTAACCGTAGAAATAAAGCTACGTTTTCAAATTTCTCCGGTTTGAAGAGCGTTTTTGTGACGGATTAGTGCGGACGGTAGGCCTAACCGTAGAAATAAAGTTTCTCCGCCAAATTGTATTGTTTCACCTCCCAACTCAAATACGTTTTCCGATTGGAAGAGAACGTGTCACGTGTCGTAGGTCAAAACTCACTAACTCCCTTTTGTCATAACTAGGGCATCGATTTGGCCATTTTGGTCTTAAATAGGGTATGGTCCATGTACTCTAGTCTTGAATTGGGTATGTTTTTTAGAAGAAGCTACTTTTTCATCATTATCGATAAGACAATCAACAAAAACCCGTCATAAATTATGTTTAGAGCAACTGTGCTAACCACAACGGCCATAAATATGGTATCGAATTTTTGGTCAGGTCAGAAATAGGGTAGGGAAATTCGCAGAGTTTGGTCATAATTAGGTTAAGGATTTTGGGAACCGGGCCGCACACCCCCACCCAAGTTTTCT